TTACGAAGCACAAACCTTTAGCTTATGGATTGATGACCAAAAGAGCCTACTTTCTATTCTCAAGGATCTACTCATCACTTTAAAGTCTAGCTTTCTTTATTCTCTTTCTTTTCAACCTAAATTATATCCAGAGTAGCTCTTTTCTCTCTCTCTTTCAGTGGTCCCCTAATCTTCTTTAAAAAGTGTTTCTTCATCTTTAAAAGCATTACTTTATATGCACATTCTTTAATTATTCTTGCATTTGTATACACATATATGTGTTATCCAAATTAAAACACATGTCCATGATACATGTAAAAGTTTTTATAAGAAGGTTTTTCTCATCAAGTCCATTTGAATTGTAATTTAAGAAGTAACAGTGTGACCTAGTTTAGCAACACTTGCAAATTTGAGAGCATATTCCTAATTCATTTTCTGGGTTATCAAATGACATGTTGAGAAAACTCATCCTCATAGCCAACTCTCCAGAGCCTTTAGGTAATATTATATAATTTCTAACTCTTATATATGATCTTGAAGCCATACATTGACTGTACTGAGACTAGAATGGTCAAGATTATCCTATCCCAGATGAAGAAAAAAAGTTTGTAAGGCTGTGACCAAAATGTTTTTATTTCTCAGAATAACACTCACTAACTTGCATTACTTATCTATCCTTGATCATCTGCTTTAAAATTAACTATATTGTGAGAGAAAGAGTTTTGATATGATTTTTCTCTTCAAAGTGTTACAGATTTGTTCAATAGAATTCTCTAGGATAGACCTAGACCTAGACACATTTTTTATCAAGTCTTTGATTAATGTATAGACTTGACTACTACCAATTCTCATGTCACTTAAAAATGTCCGTAGACACTGCTAGTACCCTTTGGATTCCTCTTACTAGTTCTGTCTCCTATTTTCTTTTTATATTGCTGCTGACTGATTGCATTTGCAATCTTCACAGAATTGTGTTTAGACACTCGAATTGAACCCTTCTTGAACATAGAGCCAAAAGACTGCAGAGCTTAATAGAATATGTTTACTATAAAAAGCAAACATTGATGTTGATGTGATCTTTTCTGTGCAATAGGGGTTCAGAGTCTAGATCCTGGTGCATAATAGTGTTATTTCATTTAACATTTATGACAAATAGTGTTTAATGCAGGAAACAAAAGATATATATTTCAAGAAGATATGTATTTCAAGAAGAAAATGATTTAAATGTGGTGCATTGCAACATAATTACTGGGTTGGATAAAGAAGCAGAGACTAGGCTAATCCTCCATAGAACACCATGAGAGTGACTTGCCAGGAGAATAACTATCTCTCTTTTAATCAAGAAAGTTAGAGAATCCAAAGGTTGTCATTGAACAGAGTGAGTTCAAGAACATATTACTATAATTGCAATCATAGTATCAGGAAGGAACAATTGCTTCAATTGCCTGGGAATTCTATGTAGAGCCCAGCTCCCTCAGTTGCAAATGTGATACAACACTCATGAAGTTGGTGATCAGATGCTGGAATGTCCATAAACATTCTTGGCAACAGAAAAAAGCCAAAAACAGAAAGAAGGTGGCCTCCACCTCATTTATGCGTTCCAAATATCTTATGATTGCTCCTAATTGGCAGACTTACTTTCCAACTAAAATCCTAGCTTGCAAAAATGTTTGAGAAATGAAGTTTGAAGCTTTTCACTCAATAAAGCACTGGATGGCAAACTTGAAGGAGGTAGGGATAATTGCTGAGTGCTAATCCGGGCCATTCTCTTGCATAACTCTAGGGAACATCATTCATCATACAACTGGTGGCCTCAAGCAGCCAACTAACTGTTATCACTCATAGTACCAATTAAAGATCATCAAGAGTCAAATGTTGAACTTCAAGTATAACACTTTAAGATAAATGTTAACAAAATAGTGTTGTTCAAGCATAGTCACCAAAATGGTAAAAGGTTTTAGAGACACATAAAGAAAAGAAAGGAATGAAGATGGAAATTAAAGCATCGATCTGTTAAGCATTAGAGGAAGCAGGTGTGAACTTGCTTTGAGGTTCAGTGGATATCAGAAGATAAGTATGGATAAGTGAATGAAGCAGGTTTAAGTTGGGATTTTCACTTGAAATTTCATGTAATACTTCTTTTAAATTTAAAATTCTGTAGTCCCGATCTGTTCCAGATCTCTGCAGATAGACCAAGGGTCCCTTGACATTATCTGGAAGGTTCAAATTAAAGTGATTTGAACAGATCCTTCATTTTCATTATTTTAAACATCAGTTCTACTACCAGTGAAGTGAGATAGGAGTAAGACTTTCATCTCTTTTACCCTGATATTTTTATTTTATTCAAATATTTAATTTTCCTTATCCTGTATTTAAATAGTGGCTTTTTGTCCTGCAAGGTTTCAAGAGAAAGACTCTCTGACATTAAAAAGGCTTTATTCATTAACAATTTAATGCCATTTTTTTGGTAAATACTTGTTAGGAAACAAATATTCCAGGCAAATTTGGAAAAAATGAAGTGAGCGCATAGCTTGGTAGTTTGGGCAATTGCAAATCAAAATGAATTCAAACAGGAGAACGTAAAATATATTAATAATTTGAGAAATAATAATCCAAAACTCAAATGTTTTATGGGCAATAGAAACCTAGACTACTGTATTGCCAAAAGAGACACAGATGAAACCAGAGAGCAAATGATTTTGCCATGTGTGGTGTCAATAAATTAAGACTGATGCAACTTTGGCCTGTTAAGGTAGGATCCTCATGGACAGGGTGGAGATGGTTTTACAGCTTCAAAGCTCAATAGTCAGTTCTGTGCAACTCCATTCTAGAAATAAATGGCAGAGAAGTGGAGAAATTTAAGGAAACTATTTAGGTAAAAATGATTCTGAATCATGTTTAACCTGAAGATATATATATGACTGATAGAAAAATTATGTACTAAATCTAGAAAAAGTAACATTAAGGCCAAATATCAAAAATAAAATATCCAAGTGAAAAGTCATTTCATATAGCTAATGAAAACTGCAGTAGGATATTGTTTGAGTCAGCTTTTTAATTTTTTTTTTGTCTTTGCTGCTGTGACTAAAAGACCTGACCAGAACAATTGCAGAAGAGGAGAAGTTTATTTAGGGGCTTACTGTCTCAAAGATCTCAGTTCATAGACAGCCAGTTTCATTTCTCAGGGCTTGAGTTGAGGCACAGCATCATGGCAAGAGAGTGTGGCGGAGGGAAGCACTCCCTCACATGATGATCAGAAAGCAGAGAGATTCCACTTATCAGATGCAAAATATATACTCCAAAGAGCACCCCCAATGAGCTCCCTCCTCCAGGACACCCTATATATCCTGTCAGGGCATTAAATTACTGATTGGGTTAAGTCTCTGATCTGGTTAAGTCTCTCATAACTCAATAATCTCTCCTCTAAACCTTCTTGCATTGTCTCACAGAATGAGCTTTTGGGGGATACCTCACATGCAAATCATAATAAGTGTATATAAAAAAACAACTTTTTTGGTGGGAGGGAAACTAGGGATTGAACCCAAGGACACTCAACCACTGAGCTGCATCTCCAATTCTCCAGTCCTTTTTATTATTTTACTTTAAGGCAGGGTCTTGCTAAATTGGTGATGATCTGGATTAATTGCTGAGTCTGGCCTTGAACTTGTGATCCACTTGCCTCAGACTCTGGAGTCTCTGGGATTACAGGCATGGTCCACCATGCTTGGCTAAGAGAACAAACACCCATCCCCCTGCAAAAACAACAACAACAACAACAACAAAACCCTCTGTTATATAAAAAATCAATAATTGAAAAATAATCTTTTAGAGGTGAAATAGGAAAACAAATAGACATACAAGTTAAGAATTGCCAAGGTCAGCAATAAGTTACACATCTCATAAATTCTAATGTTTGTTATATGCAATGGAATAAGACAATATAAATGATATCCTCAAAATACATATGCAAAACAGAAAAAAAAAAGTTTAAATCCAAACAATTAGCACACAGAAAAAGGTGAAATTTAAATTAAGTAGCTCTAATTTTGGTTATCTGCACAGTATGAAAATAATCTTTTTTTTTTCTGGAATTCAGAACACTTTTCACAGTATACTTTAGTTCTGTTTCTCCAGAGGATAGCTCTCATCCCCCATACTCTAAGGTGTGCACCCTGTTCCTAAGTAGAAAGGACATGCGTCATATGTTGAGCACAGCCAGATTGTTGACTATTGTATGAACCTGAAAGTAATTAGCTTAACTACTTGTCCTTAGGCCATGTCTCTTAAAGGCAAAACATTAGAAAACAGGGGAATGTTTTGATCAGTGGGCCAATTTGTTTCCCATGCAACAGTTGGTTAAGTAGTTAGTACTGACAGGCAAAGACTAAGAAGGAGAGGGGGACAGATCTCCTCCAGGTCAGGGCTTATCAGGTTGTTGCTTGGATTTGGGGATATGAAATTTTCTTTATGGAGAAAGCAGATGAGATGTACTCTGGGTGAGGCTGGCTAGTACATGGCAAGATCCATAGTCAGGTGGCCTTGTATCATGTACATATCACCTGCTAAGTGTGAGGCACTCTTCTGTGTGCTATCCATAAGTTGTTACACATTTTCTCAGACTTGTGAAGTAGATGTTATCATGATATTATCTCCATTATATAGGGAATGAAATTGAAATGCAGAGGTTAAGTGCCTGCCTAGCATGCATGAGGCCTTGAGTTGAGATAGCTCAGTGGTAAAGTGAAATGCAGAGGTTAAGCTATCTGCCATGACAAACACAATATTCAAACCCAAGGTTTTTCACCATCAATTTAACTCTAGTGCTTTGAATATGTGGTATGAAAAAGAGATGAAAGTAGTCATATCATTTCACCATTATGAACAGAAAAATTTATTTACCCTTTAAAATGGAAAAAAAGGAGTTATGTGAAGTATTATTATGATTTATATTTTGTCTTTGCCCATCTTTTCTGGACTTTATTGTTTCACAGGGGATGTGTTATTCCAGTTTCCAACTAATATGACCCAGGGGAGTTTCCCCAATGAATTGATGTGAGAAGACATAAGGTAAACTATTTATTGATTTTACCTCCATATCTGAAGATGTGCCCAGAGCGGAAAGTAGCAGGAAGCCTATCATTTTCCTTCTGACTGCCATTAAGTTTCATCCAAGAATACATCAGGTAATATCAGTGAAGGAAATAAATTGATCAATAAAAAAAGCTTCTTTAGTGGGTTAACAAGTTATTAAGCCAGACCTTAGTTCTACTATTTGTCAATGTTATTGAAAAAAAATTTTAAATACATTTTAATGGCACATAGATCCATCTGGCATAAGGAAATCTCATTTGTGATAATAGCAAATTTTAAATTTCTTTACTGTTACAAGCTGTGCCAGAAGAGGTACAAAGAAAACTACATTTAATATTTGAATCTATGTATTGATAGACATTAAAAAGAGACAGTTTTATACACATTGACTTAAAATGGACTTTATATTAAGTCCTGAAGTTTTAAAAATGCCTGTCACCTCTCCACACACCATGATAGAAAATAAATTTATTATTCATCAAATTATTGCTGGAAGTTATTATACCAATACTTCCGACAGTGTAGAATTTGAAGTCTCTAATGTGATCTAAGTAATCATTATTACTGAGCCAGACATTATGGTTACAAAAACTGCTTTGTCAGAAATTTGATGTGCTCCTGTTTGTATCAGACATTATGGTTACAAAAACTGCTTTTTCAGAAATTCGATGTGCTCCTGTTTGTATCAGATTCTTTACAAAATAAAGGAGAATGGACAAGGTAGCTGATTTGCAATGTTGTTCATGATTCATTGGAGTAGTATTTCTTTCCTCTGCAGGTGTATTAGAAACTCTCAGAGATTTTAAAATCTAAGAATTCCTGGAATCTTTCTCATGAGGTCTTTATTTAACTGATTGAATACTTCTTTCTTTAACTGATGAAACTTATTAAAAAACTATTCCGATAAGTATTTGAAATAAAGATTGTAGAGTTATTCTTTAGTTCATAAGTCTTTGAGATATCCTCAAATATTTTTTTTCAAAAGGAATATGTCTGAACCATTACAATATTATAGTCACCTTATAATCAAATATTGACACCATTTTTTCTTTATACAAAATAATTTTCCTACTAAAATAATATGTCCTAATAGGATCAAAGAAAAAATAGGAAGTTTGTTCATATAATTGGTTGAATTTTATGTGAGTAGCATAACTTGGCTGAGGCAGAGGATACATAATAATCAGAAGGAATTATGTGAGTTATATTAATCTTCAATTTAATGAGAAACTAGGAAAAAAGACCAGGGAAGATCATCTGAAGAAGAAGGGAAGGGAGATAGAATAGAATATATTATCATGATTAAAAATATTCTATCTCATCTGCTCTTAATTTTGATCATTTCATTGACTTTCTTTCTTCTTCTGTTTCCCTTTTCTCTTGCCTACTTCTTATTATTCTTTAAGTCATAAAAAGCTATGGTTTATGGTCAACCTAGACATTTAGAGATTATGGTCCAAAATTTCATGTCAGAGCAGTTGAATAAACAGATCCCACTTTTTCTGGATTTTTTTTTCATTTGGACTTTGATGTCCTTCATACTTGTAGTTTACTACAATGAGGAAGAACACACCATGGGAACCATGAGATTTCTCAGTGTAGTGGATCAATTGGTGGCCCCCCAAATGATATATTTATATGCTAATTTCCAGGATGTGTGAAAGTTACCTTATTTTAAAAAAAATGTCTTTGCAAATGTAATTAAAAACCTTCAACAATTAAGAACCCTGAAATCAGGAGAAGATCCTAGGTATTCTGGGTTGGCACTAAAGCAAATGATAAGCATTTTTACATTGACTCACAGAGAAGATAGACACACAGAGCAGAACTCAGACATACAGAGGAGGAGATGATATGACCATGACACAGAGACTGGAGTGGTGATGCCTTCGGCCACAAGTCAAAGAATGCCAATAGCTGTCACCAGGTTAAAGAGGTAAAAAGTATTTTTTCCCTTAGAACTACCAGAGGGATCACAGCTCTAATAACTCCTTGATTTCACACTTCTGGCTTCTAGAATTTTAAGAGGATAAATTTTTGTTATTTCTGGCTACCAAGTTTGTGATAGTTTATTACAGCATCCAAAGGAAAATTATACACCCAGTGAAAAGGTGTTATAACAAACCCACTATGATATAGGATTTTGCCTTTAGCTGGGGATTTAGGGAAGGAATTAAGGAAGCATATATAACCTTGACAAGGTTGTATACTGCCAGAAGGATGTGCTGTTGCATGCCTGGGTATCTTAATAAATTGTGTTTATAGAAGGGGAAAATCAGTACAAAGATGAAACTAGAATTGGTAAAGATCCTAAAGGATTAGATTGAGAAATGGGTTATTTAGCATTTTGTGGGTTCACAGTGACTTTATTTGTGCTTAGTGAAAATTATGAAGTGGTCTTTCTTTGTCTTATTGTATCATGGCCTCAAACTAACTTTGTCTGCCATTGGTATTGTCAGTTTATATGCATTAGGAAAAAACCAGTTGTGACTGCCAGATCACCTTCTAAATGCCGATGGTTACTTGATTTCTTTAATAACAGTGCCCATCTCTGAGATGTCTTCTATTTGTACTTGCTGGAGGAGCCAATCAGCCTATATTTGGAAGGTAAGTTGATGCAGCATTGAACTCCAGAAATTCATTGAAACCATTCTGCATCCGTGTATTTTGTTTTTCTACTTGAAGCAGAAAACAATAATGTTTTATACAACATTACTAATATTTTATGGTGAAAATTGAGCTCTGATACTTTGCTAAAGTCCCTTGCCATTGAATTTATTTTGTTTTCTTAGAAATAGATCTCTCTTTGGGATTTTATTGTCCAGATCAATTTGTATTATTGTTTTTAGTGAAGATTATTTATGGATTTTTTTTTAATCACCTAACACCCACTTTTCCAATGCTTTGTTTTGTCTGCATGTCTGCTTGCCTGTATTGGATGTCGTTTGTCAGTATGAGTAAAACTGTACGAGGAGAGGATGGACTTAGAAGTCCATTTTCAAGACCACTCTGGGGGTTTGCAAGTTCACAATATTCTTTTCAGCATCACTTGGACAACTTTGCCTCAGGACACTATTTCAAAATCTTATAGGGACTTCTTTAGTCTTGTTTCGGTGTCTTGGAGAACTACTTTTTCTTTTGTTTCACTTGGTGATTCTCTCTGGCTCCTGTTGGGTAATGGATTGTCATCGACTGAACTTCAGTAACAAAAGCTTAAATGGGTGTCGGTCTCACAGACATTTTGTAGTTCTCATGGAATCTTTGCAAACTAAAACTGCTTCTTCCAGGCCAAACACCTGCTTCTTTTATGTTTCCCCAGTATAATGCTAACTCTTATGTGTGACTTCCTGTCACAATTTCATTAATGATATTTTGGAATTATGATGGTTGCTCTGGGAAAAAATTGATATGGAAAAAATTGCTCATTTGAAAGGTAGCTTAGCACCAAACCCCACAAAATTCTGACTGTCCAATGTTCAATTTTCTTTAATTTGTATGAAGAGGCTTCTAAATACAATTTGGACTAAAAAGTTAGTTTCTCTAAAGGATTCAGTAGCAAAACCTGGAACAAAAGTGAGAAACTTAACTGCCTCCTTGTGAAAACATCAAAACCCTATTCAGTTATTCCTTTCTATATACTGTCTTATATACTTTGCTTTAACCCTCAAAATCTTAATTAAATACATTTGGAGTTTGTGACCAAAAAATTTTGTGTGTGAGAGTTGTATGAGTGGGTGCAATATTTTTGGAATATTCCTTCATCCGGATATGGAACATACTGTGCCAGAGACAATTCTGTGTGCTCACCAAATGCTGTTTGATTTTATTATGTTCTTAGGTCAACAGGAAAGCTATCAATTCCAGCTTCTTAGGCAGTGATGTTGGAGTCACATGACTATGTACTGACCAATGAGATGTAAGAAAAATGACACATGCTGCTTTTAGGCACAGCTATAAATCCCTCTGCACAATTATCCTATGCTCACTCTCTCTTCCTTTGGCAATTCTGAGAGCCACAGGTTTAAGATAGCAATGTCATAAAATTGGAAAAGCCTAGATCTGAGTTATCACTGGGAAGAAATTTGCCATAGAGCTATTGGACTACAATGTGGGTGTGAAATGTCTTGTTAATGTGTTAAAGCATGAAGATTTGGAGGCTGCATGTTTTAGCAGCTAATGTAATTTATTTCTCACTGAAGTAGTGCCTCAAAAGTAATATCTCTCTTGCCCCACAGGGAAAGCTTGATTAAATAATAAATACAAAAAGATATTTGAGAATATAAGATACAATTTATTTCAAAAAATAAAATTTATTCCTTCAAATAAAATCAGATAGTTTACTTCAAAAATGATGAATTTCATGAAGTTCAATGAATCAAAAAAGGTCTTACCATGCAGATGAAAATTATATAAATTGGTATTCTAGCTTGAACAAAGGAAATGTTTGAAAGAAGCATAGTTTGGCTTCTTAGGCTCCTTATGTGCCTGTATTTATTTATCAAACACACATTTGATACTTATTATGTGACATGTATTTTTCTTAGTACTGGGAACACATCAGTGTGAGAAAGAGATGGGAGCTTATATCTTAATACAGGAGAAAAAAATAATAAATAAAATTAACCACCAATTCTAATATTTATATTTTAGGAGGTAATGAGTTTTGGCAGACAAACAAATCAGAGGAGAGGATTAGTGGAGAACTGCACTTTTATGGAGAGTGGTCAGAGAAGCATTCACTAAGTAGACAGTTTATGAGAAGAGGCTTTAAAAAGGTGAAGATGGCTCTCAGAGAACCAGCATTTCAGACAGAGGACCAGTCAAAATCCCTGAAATCAGAGCATGACACACAGGCTAAAGGAAGAGCAGACAGCCACTGGGGCTGGGATGGTATGAAGTGGAGAACTGCAGGAGATGAGGACAATGATGGGATTCAGATTCAGATTCGGACCAGCCTTGAAGACATAGTAGGTCTTTGGGGGTTTTATTTGATGGAACAAAAAGCCACTTTTAAAAAAAAATCATGAGGCATAATATGATTTTCATCTTAATACAATCACTGTGGTTGCTGGGTTGGGACCAGACTCTAGTGGACAAGAAGGAAGGAGAGGTCCTGGTTTGGGGATTGTAACATTGATTTGCGCGAAACAGAGTGGTGTGGGTTGGGCCAGGGTAAGACTAATGAGGTGCCCAGAAGTGGCTGAATCCCAGGTAGGCAGATAGAGTCTTTCAGTGGGTCTGTAAGATTTGCTTTTAGATGGGATGCCTAAAATAAATGAGAAATACCAAAAATGACTCCAAGTGGAAATTAATTTGCCACTCATTGAGAAGGGCAAGACTGTGGGAAAATAGGTGTTGGGGAGAGTAAGAACAGGATTTCAGCTCTGTCTTAAGTTTGAGCACCTCTTAGACATACATGCCCATATTAAAGAGAACATTCATAATGTAGCCTTAATAATGTAATATCTCGAACATTTTTGTTCTTGCTATGCTATTCTTTCCTTCAAATAGATTGTATTCTTTCAGACAGGAATGCTATTTTAGATTCATTCTTTATGTTTCATGTTGTCAAGTAAAAAGTGCAAAACATAACATTTTTTTAAGTATGTTGATTATTGTGTAAAGAATCATATGAATTCATAATAAATCAAACACATGAATTCTGTTTTATATATTCTACCTTTTAAAATTCAGTTTAGCATTGTTTATACTTAATGTGTGAGTAGGTTCATGTGCCTTGTTATCCAAAGAGCAAAAAAAAAAAGGATTGGCAGATAGAAGAGAAAAGCTCTCCAGCAATTAAAGTATTTCTGGAAAATGTTACCAGAAGTGATTCGTGTACACTACACACATTTACAGGAAGAATCTTATTTGTATTTATCTTGTATTTTAGCTTAATCAAAATGACAATTCAAGTGTTAGGAGCTTTAGCCAAGAAACATGCCAGAGATTCAGGGACCTAATCAGGTTAGGTGGGACCTTGGCAGGGGAAGACATGGCAGAGCCATCTTTTCTGCAGTTTACTAAGTTGATGATGTTATCTTATTACTGATCCAAGAGTTCAAAGACTAAGTTGTGATAAAATAAAGTGGCTGAAATAAAAGGTTATTTTTTATAAAGTCTCTCGTATATATTCTGGGAGGAAGAAGTTGATTTTATTGTGGTTTTGTTGTTATCTTTGAATATAGTATTTCAGTAAAGCAATTTGGGCCAGAAGTAATGTAATACATGATTTTGAAAACATAAACATAAACATTGACCATGGATGCAAAATTAATTTACTTTCTAATCTGCTCACTTTCTGATACTAGTTCCATGACACAATAGCTACTTAATATGTACTGTTTGACTTGAAGTTGCTTAGTACAAAAGGGAAAGAAAGTTAGGAAACTATTACTTTCCACTTTTTCTTGCATCTGCATCACTGAGGAGGAATTCCCAGCAAAACTTAAAAACAAAAGAATACCAACAAAAACAAAAAAAAACAATGATACATAGAAAAGATTCAACTGCTTATGAAAAATCAGAAAATGGAACATACGTGTCATTGTTAAATTTAAAATGCAGCTAATTTAGCTAGAAGAAATTTAATTATATTCCATTGATGCATTTCATGGTTAGCTTGCTGATTCAATTCTAGGTATTAGGTTTATAGTGAGACCACAGTTCATTCCAAGGATAAGTCCTTGCTTTAAATACTCCAGGATATTCCTTATGTTGATATATGTCTCCACAAACTTTATATATAACTGAGGACTGGCATCAAAGCATGTGTTCATTCTTCCCCTCGTTAATGACAGTTTGGAAAATTCTCATACAATTGGATAAGATAAACTTTTCTCCCACTCTATATATTATTTCCTTTGTTATACAGTTTGGTTTATTTTAAGATTAGTGGTTCTGTCAGTTTAGGATCAATTATAAAAATGATAATTAATAACTCAAGCTGTTTGATGTTACTGGGATATTTTCCCTCACTGGAAGGAAATATTGTTACTTGCCACAACTGTTAGAAATGAGAATGAAGAATTCATTTAAGGTCCTGAGCTTGAATGAAGGCAGCTTAGAGGGTAGTGTACAATTCTACATATTCTGATACTTCACAATTTAGAGCCACTTATATTCTAAAGCACAGCATCTCAAGAAGTCATTGCTAACAATTATCTTTCTCTGCTGCCTTCTGCTAAATTTTGTTGTCTTTGTGCTAATAAAATAAAGGTTGAGGGAAAGGGTAAAAGTCCTGCAAAAGCAATTATAATCAAAATGAGTCATAGTGCTAAAAGGTGAAGCTGCTCTTCTACATTTACAGTACATACGTCATTCCAATGATTCTTAACTGATTAACAGTGTCTCTGTAGTCTTTTGTTACCATCACAAATCTCTTAGACTTACATAAGGGAATATTTTAATTTCATATTTTATGTTTGTACTGAGAAGAAGCTAAGGATTTTCAAAAAGAGAAAAATAAAGCAAAAATCAAAACACAAAATCATTCATTTTTTATGCAATTTAAAAATATCTCTAAAAAGTCTTTGTGTAGAATTATATTCAATTGTATCTCACAGTTTCTGAATATGCCTGTTTTCTTGTTTGAGCTAAAATATGTTCTC